GTTGCGTCAGATTTTTTGTCCATGAGGAATTGAGGTGTATATGATAGAGAAATTTATGTACGGACTATATTAGGGTTTTCAATTATAAAATGGGATCAAGTTTTCCGTAAATTATGGGCGGCACCTCTCTCGCGGTGTTTTTTTTTCTCAAGATATCCCTTTGTCAGGTAATATAAACACCGGACAAGCAAAGTTTATATAGTGCAAAACAAAACAATTGTCTAGTGTTTGAAATGTTTGACAACTCTAAGGGGGTTTCTCGTATAGGCGGTGAAACGAGAACAAGAAAGTTCCCATATGCAAGAAAACCTACGGCCAAAAAAAACATGCATTTTTCTACTTGAAGTTTGCGAAGTCAAAATCAGGCCGGAAAATAGTGCCCGAAGATGTTGCAGTTGTTGAAAGGACCACCATAAAATTGGGTTCCCAGCGGAATACAACGCCAATTTCGGTCATTTTCTCGCCGAAAATATGAATGGTATTCCCCATCAATCAAAAAAAAAAAAAATCCATATCCATTCCTTGTCTTGAAAAAAATAAATAAAAAAAGCAGCCCTAAAATCAGTCAGTAGACCTATTCTCCAAAAAATCAGCCTCAAATCAATCGTGTAATCATCCCAACCAAGTTTTATCCAGAAAATCATCTGCGTAGTCATCAGCACAGTCTCTAATCAGGAGTCAACAACCCCATTAAAAATCAGCATATCAAAAGAAAATCCAATCCCTTCCCCATCGGTAAAAAAAATCAGCCAGAGTAAACCCCATTAAAAATGGGATGAAAATGCTAGCAGCAAAAGTTTTATTATTATCTCTCTAATTTTGGATCTATTCATCAATCACTTTTTCAATTTTTCGTTCTTTTATCCACCAGAGCAGCAAGCTATCCCATCACCTCCCTAGAAAAGAGCAAGAGAAGAGAAAGGAGCGAGGGACAAGCAAAATGAAGCGGCAAGGTGGGGTTTACAAAACCCCACCCAGCTGTCTGGTTTCTTAATTGTGATTTTATTATAATGCGAAATATCTTATTCTTATATGGATTGAGATGGTAGGGGGGAGAGAGAGCGCGAGAGGAGAAGGGTTGAGAGAGATTATTTTAAAAAAAAATGCAGAGTCGAGATATTTGGAGAGAGAGATTGACTTGTTGGTTTTGAGGATAGTAAATAGTTGTTTGGTATTTCAAACAGTTAACCGCTATTTTGATTTACATGATATAAACTTCACTTGTCTGGTGTTCGTATTACCAGATGAAAATAACTCGGAGGGAAAAAAACATCCTTGTAATTTGGGACAAATGTGATCTTATTTTGCATAAATTTGTGGGAAATGACATCAATTCTCTTTACTGGTCAGGAAGGTTATCATTATCCATTGATCCATAAATGAGTCATATAATTTTCTGGTAGATCCCAAGTAACTGAATCTTGATTTTTGATATAAGGAGGTTAATCACTTTTAGCCTATGAGATGTGAAATCTAAATAGATACAAGTATCACAATATTCAAAAAAATTTATTTTAGACTTTGTGCAAAATAACGACGCATCCTCGGCCCCCCCATTTCAAATCTAATGGTTAATGACGATTTTGACCTTTTTGGATAAAAAATAAATGGTCTCATTATGTGCATTTTCTTATTATAAATGCGGTTATAGAAAGTATGATTTACTAATAGAAGTGCAAAATCAATGTATACAATTATAGCAACCCTGCCTCTCACCCTAACCATAAAAAGGCAAAAAAGGAAAAGGAAATCACATTTGATATAGTTACTCTTAAGAAATGGGCTCAAAGCTAGGTATTCGTGGTGCGCTGCCACCATGTGACGTCTTAAGTTTCATTCCTACTATGAGAGAGGATCCTTTCTTTGAACCACCCAAAAAATTAGTTATGCATTTGAAACAACAAATGAGCGCCTTAGTACAAGTCTTTTTCCTTTCGTCACCATTTTTTTTGTTAAACTACTGCCACTTGTTTTTTTTCTTTTTAATGTAAAACTATTGCCACTTATTGTTTCAACACTTTTTTTTCAACTTTGGGAATAAAGAAAAAGGAAAAAAAAAACGAGACCTATCAAAACTGAATAGGTCCATAGCGTATTTCATAGCATGTTACGTTTTCTTCTAAAAAGTTAATGATAATTCTTGCAAAACAAAAATTTCCAAATGCCTATATAGTTCTAGCAAGTGCATAGTAAACGTTACTTACTATCGGACTTCGACAAGTTTGCTTTCTTGACGTTGCTCCGAGAGACCTCTTGGTGTATGATAGGTTTTGCCTTTTTGGAGCGAGAAAAAGCAAGTTGTGACGCGAGTTTAAGATCGATTTGGTTGGAGATCATGGATTGTTACAGTTCTTTGAATGTTATACAGATGCCAATGGGGAGCCAGATGGCTACATGGGGTGTATTGTTGTCATTGTTAGTTGTTTTGGATATACTAATTGTTAGGATTGATTTAAAGGGGCTACTACTACGGATTAATACAAAATCATATTTGAATCAAAATCTCTCTATGAACTTTGTTTTAGAATATAATTGAACATTTCGTATGCTTTTAATCCAATCACATAAGAAATATAAGCATATATCTACAACTATAGGCTTCTCAAAACTTAGAATCAAATGTCCAATCCATCATCATCCATTTTATGTTTTGCCCTAAATTATAAATCACAACAAAATGAGCAAATATGAAGTGTGGAATGAATTCAACAAAACACTCCAACTATGACTTGTAGAGAATATGAAAATCCATACATTTAGAATATCAAAAGCATCGCAATAATTTGCTAGAAATTTTAAAGCATGAGGAGATTAATAGCAACGTAGAGTTGTGGCTTGCCTCAAGATGACCTTGCAAGGTTTTTGGGTGCTCCTTGAGACCAAGACATCTGAAATTTGTAGAGAGAGATGAATTATGGATGGTGAGAGAGAGACTAGAAAACTACAGCTCTCCCACCCTTTTTCTTTTAAGCCTCAAAATTCCATCACTAAATTTTTATGGAATGAATTTTTTTTTTTCTTTTGTAACAGTGGCAAAAAGGGAAAAGTTTATGTAGAGCCTAGGCTCTAAACAATCAAATTAGAGCCTACCTCAAAACTTAAAATTGTTATTCTCTAGAAGAGGTTGTTTTGAATCCCAAATATCATTCATTCAATTGATATTCTCGACATCAAGATGCATGGACATGAGAAAAAAATGGATTTCAAGTTTTGGAAATAGTGCATCTTGTAATACATTTTTTAACCGTCAATTTTCAAGATTTTTAAGTTTTTATAGATCTACTCTATCTACATTATTTTTTAAGCTTTAAATTTTATAACTAAGGATAAAAACATAATTTAAGGTTAGCACAATTCTTTTCAATTTTGAAACTATATTTCTCGATACTATTTGAAGGTGGGCTCTAATTTGATTGTTTAGAGCCTCGGCTCTATACAAACCGCACCCTGGCAAAAAAGATATATGTAAAATACATTATAATAAAGTTAGAAGTATTTTGGTTATAAAAAAAAGATTTTTAGAAAAATAAAAAAAGTGGAGAAAAGAAACTCACGCCGATTATTTAGCAGCTTTTAGTCTGGTTGAGTCTTGTTAACCAAATTTGCACTTTGCCACAAAAAAAAACACTTGTCATGGTTATGTGGTTTAAATGCTTACATGACAAGTTTTTTATTTACTAATTGAGTCTGTCGTGGCAGACAAGCTTGTATTTACTCGAGGCAAATGAAAATGAGAACTTGTCATAACCAAATGACCTGTCATATGCCTTGACCTGTTTTGTTTCCTCTTTTTGCCTCTCTCTTCTCCTTTGTCCTCTATCATCTAAATTCTATTTTTTTTTATTGCTGGTTATGCGCCTCCACCTATTGGTGTGCAGTAATTTTTCTTGGGCGTTGCTACTGAGTTTGTTGGACACTGCCCAAGTAAGGTGATTGCAAAAAGCATGGTGTGCTTTAGCGGTGTCTTAGTGAGCAGCTCGGATCAGTTTTAAAGGTCTTTGTGGAGGATGTTCAGGGAAGTTGTCTATCATGGGTTAGGCATTTTTTTTGGAAGTGGTACAAGACCCTTTGAGGTTAGGTTTATATTGTGTGTGGTTGTTACGGTTGATTATCACTATATGTGCAGACTACTTTTTATATTTTTCTATTTCTTCCTATATTACCTATAAGGAGGTATGCTTCTTTTATTAATAAAGGAAAAAGTTTATATGCAACCTTATAATGTAGAACTACGGATGCACCTCAGAAATCGATTGGAAAAAGTAATTTTAATGTTGCTCGACATCGAGATGCATGACCATGAAAGGTAAAAAGATTTCAAGTCTCAGTAACAGTGCATTTTACAAAATATTATTTACACCGTCCATTTTCATATGTTTATAAATCTATTTGATTTTAACTATTTTTTAAATTTAAAATTTTATAATTAGATATAAAAATAGATTTTGAAATAATCCAAAAAATAATTTACATCAATATTATATACCATGATAAAATTTGAGGGTGCACCTTAACTCTACCGCTACGGATGCATCCATATGCCAACTGCACCCATTAAAAAATAACCGTAGGAACCATGATATGTACGGTTATTCTACAACAATCATTCAACCAGGAAGACAATATTCGATGAAAAATTTGTACCTGAAGGCCCACATTACATGAGAATCCCAGTTGTACAAATTGTTAGAACCCTACTTGCGCGCACAAATATGTCATTCAACCCTTATCATAATTGCAAAAATTCGAATGTTCTCCAAAAATTAAAAAATAATTATTTATACTAGTTAACTGATTGCATCCTAAGGCAATTATAAAAGTGTAGCGTGATATTTTGTTTTTTAGTTTTAATTTTTTTTAAATTCATGTTACATTTAAACAACAATAACCAGCAGTACGGCCTCTAACCGTTATCAAGTTATTTTTTAGCCTTGGAAATAATTACTAGCTACAGCACTCTCCCTCTCCCTCTATCTTAAGGAAGTTATAGCATTTTTTACTTTCTGAAGTTCAGTAATTTTTCTATTTTCTCCAAATACCCAATCTTCACACAAATACATGTCAAAAGCATAGGTAATCAAGGTGGGTGTCACGACAAAGTCCTTGAATCTCTAATGCTTTTCGATAAACCCATTTAAGAAAATCAATTCGTCTCTCTCATCGTCGACCTATAAACCAACCTTGTTCAGAGAGACTTTGCACAGCTGAACTCACAATATTTTGCAATTGACACTTAAAATAAATACAAGACAGTCCACTATCCCTCTTCCCCAAATTCCTTTGTGAATCTCTCGTGCACTTCAAGATCAGTTTTGCTGACCGTGGGTCTCTGCCTCGCAAGCACTTTGTCAAAGTCTGTCTTTGTGATTGGTGGTGGAAGAATCTGCATAAAAAACAGACCACCCCAATACAAAGAATATAATAACAATTAAATCACAAATGATATGTAATACTAAATTAAACCACAATCAGTGCTTTTAAGCATGCAAAATAAAATTCCAATGTGGGTAATCATATATTTCAGGACATTCAAAAAACAGAAGACATTATATTCTCAAAGGGAAAATAACAAACAACACACGAGGCTGCAGTTATGCAAAAGTTTCTGCAAGGTTCGTATACAAGTGACCCAAGAGAAATAGAAACACAACATACTACATTGTTACAAATGGTAGACTGTCAACCATTCAAACTCAATATATTTGCAATTGGGATGAACCTCAAGTCAGCAACTCAAGTTTTCAATTGTCCACAAATGTGTGGAATGGTTAATCCCATTGTTGGGTCGGAAAGGTCTAATTATGTGCAGTATATAGTATAATATAAATTTGTAGTATCGTAAACCACAGAAAACTATGACACATCAAAATGCCCCATTTTTCTTCGTTTGATTTTATATTTCAGCCCACAGGTTCATGTTATGCACGAATCTTGAAAATATTAAACTTTTTTGGTTGCTTCTTTTGCATATTTATGGACATGAAGGTGTGTCACGGTGCAAAATGGGAGGAATACTCAACTAAGTCAGAAGAAAAGGTGCACGGTGCAAAATGGGAGGAATAGTCAACTAAGTCAGAAGAAAAGATGCACAGAGAGAGAGACAGTGATGCACACCAGGGAAGCAAGGCCTTTAGCTGCAAGTTCCTGCATGGTCGTCTGCACGGCTCCAGGTTGCTTTGGTCCACATGGCATCCACATGTCGCTCGCACTTTTTACGAAAAACATGGCATCTTGGGTTTTACGAACGGGTTCAAAAAGAACGTCCTTTACCTGCCAATCAACAAGAGACATCTGTTATTGGCCATGATAGATGTCATGCCAATTAATTACAAAAACTGAGAGAGAAAACTGAGAGAGACAGAGGGAGGGAGAGAAAATCAATTACAAAAACAAATAATTAAAAGAAAGACAATAAATTGCAAAGAGGAAAAAGGGAGAAGAGGAGTAACATGACGAAGGGATAGGAGGACACTCACACAAACGGAGATATCTGAACCTGAAAATCCCTCTGTCCGACGTGCCAAATTCTCAAAGTCAATTTCTGTTAAGTTATTAGGGGTGTCTCCGAGATGAACCTGCTCAAATTCACATCAAACATTACAAATTTTTCCTTCTCTGATATAGAATATAATGCAGTGCAGATGCTCATAGAAACAACTAACATCCTGATCCTTATTTATAGACATATATGGGCAAGTGTAAATATCCAAAAGTGAGAACCACAATAATATAATACACATAACCACAACAGACCCACACACATGTTATGGCCACGTGTGTGTGGGTGTGGGTGTGGGTGTGTGTGAGAGAGAGAGAGCAAGCCTTGTGAAATGATAAATGCAGGCAAAACTTCAGGTAATAATATCAGATGTAAAAGTCACATAACATGAAGCATTATGTGCAGGTGTGTCAATGAAGATGAAGGGATTTGGCCAATGTTAAAGGTAACCGCACAAACTATCATGTACCTTGAACATGTGTTGCCTAGCTTTGACATCAGGAAGAGGAATGTAAATTCTCTTATCAAATCTTCGACGTATGGCCTGCATTTTTGTATTTCACTATAATCAGCACGTATGATATCATCAGACTTTTCAACTTCTCAGAACAAATTCAAGCCCATGACCAGAAAGATATTACAGCTGCTTCTTTTTAAAAAAAAACAAAAACTAAAGGAATTACAGTTAGAAGTGTAGGATATTGACATCATCCATTAAATATTCTTGACCTGATCCAGAGCATATGGGGTATTGGTTGCAGCAAGAACGAGAACTTTCTGATCATTGTTCCCTACACCCTGCAATTGAAAAGAAAGGAAAGCAAATATTCAGAATTACAATTGAGAAAGTGAGTGTTACTTACAAAGAATGAAATAAGACATTATATAGATACCGAATAAAGATTTATAAACTGCCTAAAAAGTGAAAGGAAATAATATCCACTACCAGTTCTTATTATATTTTATTTTATTTTCTTTGACTGTGGTACCAATTGCCAAAAAAAATTTCTACTTAAATATAATTAAGTTTTAGAAATTGGCCTCACAAAACAACAATGCACACTAGACCATGGTCCAAAGTCTGTGCGGTTAGAGACCAACCAGATACATCGATAGCACCAAGAAGAAAAGGGGAATGCTCTTATGTTAGCAAGAAAGCAGCACACTAAGGTCTTAATGATTGGTCAGGTAGGCAGAAAACAATTTCTCATTGCATTCAATTGATATTATAGCATACAGTTTCACTCATATAGCTCGTGTGCCTCTTTTTTTTCTTTTATCCACTGAAGAACATCTACATCCAAAATTTAAGGAAATCTTTTTCAATTTGGAATGCCAATCAGGTACCTCTCTGGTGTACATAGGCATTCTTGTGGTCCCACATCAGTAAGTATCAAACATTGCTATCTTTTGGAAGTCTCTCACCAGAAATTGACTTAATGATTTAGATTCAGACACATAATGTTAACTATTCTGTTAAGAAGTAATTTTTTTTTTGGACACAGTGTAATAACTTTTTTTTTGGACACATAATGTTAACTGTTCAGACACAGTGTAATAACGTTTTCTGTTTTTTTGGAACATGTTAACTATTCTGATAAGAACTAATTATAAGAGAGGTATGAGGAGGATATACACTCTACAGACTGGGAGCCCTATACAAAAGACTCCTCGTGTACAAAAAAACGTAACAATCCCTTGGGGACAACAAAAATGCTACACTGGCCATATAAGAGCTGAAAAAAGACAAAATGGGGATTTTGTGCTAACAAAGGTGCTCCGAAAGTCCCCTAGGAGTCATGCTGCGAAACTGCCATATGTGTAGCTCCCTGTTTACTAAGGCTATCGGCCGATGTGTTTGCTTCCCTCCAAGTATGGCTCCAAAAGACGTGAATAGACCTGCAGGGCCTGGGTTACCTAGAGAACACCTGTAGAAATTGAGCTTGGTTTGGCCGGAGAGGAGGGAGGGATGTGACTGGGCATTAAGTGCGGTACGCCTGCCAAGTCCAGATGGAAGTCCGAGGAGGAAAAGTGCTTGAACTCGTTGCTGTTTTTGGCCCAAAAGATAACCAAAGTTTTGATCCTCTCAATGAGGGCCTCTGCAGTTTGTTGCTCCCCTGGAAAGATCCTCTTGTTTCTCTCCGTCCAAAGGACCCACAACATGGCAGTCATGGATGCCAGCCACAGTAGGATCTCTCACTTCACCCTAGGTGGGGAAAGGAGAGATTGGAAGAGATGAGGTATAGAAAGCGGAGTCACTCACGACCAATTGAAGAGTTGCAACAGTCCCGCCCCAAATAGTTCGAGCAAGGTCACAGTAGATGAAGAGGTGGGCATTAGTTTCTTCGTGGATGGTACATCGATTGGGAATTTGGACTCCCCTTCTTTGGAGTTGGTCTACTATGAGCGCCCTTACGGATATAACTATCCAGTCAAAAACTTGAATCTTTGGAGGGAGAAGGGTGAGCCACGCCTTAGCAGTGACAGCCATGTGCACGATGGTAGGGTGTGATAGTAGAGTACGATAAAAGAAGGATTGGAGCAGGGAGGATAGAAAAAGGAACTCAGGGGTCTCATGGTCTGCTAAAAGCCTCCTAAGATTAGGGTTCCACGCTCTGGCAAAGCCCACGGATTCAAATTGGTCAGCCACTGTCGCCTGGGGGTTAATAACAAGGAGAAACAAATTGTGGAAGTGATCCCTCAGCAACGAATGTCCAGTCCAAATGTCAGACCAAAAGAGAACCCTCGATCCAACTCGAGGTCTAAAGCGAATGTTGGTCTTGGAAAGAATATATCTGCGAACCAAGGACCTCCACAGACCGGAAAGGGTGTTGTTGGCCCTTCCTCTAGGAACCCAAGCTGATTCCTGGCAGCAGTACTTTGATCTGCGAACCTCCTGTCACAAGTGGTTCTCTTGGGTAGCAGAACGCCACCACCACTTCTCTAACAAGGCAAGATAGTTAATCTTGAGGCTGCAGATATTGTGTCCCTTTGAGATTTGGGCGAACAGATTTTTGCCCAAGAAATTAAGCGGAATTTTCTTCCTCCCTCTCCAGAACCAAGGAAATTTCACATGAGTTGCTCAAGATGGGCTACCACTGAGGCTGGCATATGGAAGAGAGACATCTGAAAAATGGGGATATTAGAGAGGGTCACCTTAATGAGGGCAATGCGACCCGCCAAAAAGAGAAATCCATCCCCAACCTGCAAGTCTCCTGTCAAACATATCAATTAAGCGGTTCCATTGCCTAAGTTTGGGCTTGTCAAATGCACAAAGGCAACCTAAAGAGAAGGATGGCAAATGGTCGACTTTACAGCCCCATAAGCCCGCGAGATGATTGACAAGAAGATCGGCAAACACACTGGTCAGTGGATTTAGCATGTTTACTCTAAAACCAGTGGCCATTTTCTAAGCATTTAAGGAAAAGTAGACGGGAGTCAACATGTTGGATGGTAGTGTCACAAAAGAGGAGGGTATCGTCTGCATATTGAAGATGAGATATAATGGGGCCTTGCCTCCTAATCTTGAAGCCATAGAGACCATGTTGATATTTTCCTGGGATGGAGCAGCTAAAGACCTCCGAACTATTGCAAACAAGAATGGTGAGAGAGGGTCACCTTGTCTGAGCCCTCCGGAGGAAAGGAAGTATCCTTTAGGGAAACCTTTAATAAGAACTGAAAAGGAACCATAGATCCAGACCCACCATCGCTGTCCAAACCCCATCCTACAAAGAGTCTCATCAAGGATGGATCAATCGACGTGGTTGTAAGCTTTCTCCCAATCGAGTTTGATGACTACCCCAAGAATCTTGACGAGGTCTCTAGAGTAAATGCAATCATGAGCCACCAAAGCTCCATCTAGGATTTGATGGTCCTTGACAAAAGCCCCTTGTGTCGGGGAGATGACTCACCCAAGGACCTCTCTCAATCTAGAGACAAGAACTTTAGAGTGCAACTTATATGAGGAATTAACATAGCTGATAGTTCTCAAATCTTTTTCTTCTGCACCTTCGACATTGGGGATGAGGACGATGAATGTGGCATTGATTGCCTTATGAATCACCCTTATGGAGTGGCATTCGTCGAAGAAGGCAAGGATGTCAGGTTTTTTAGGTGGTCCCAAAGGTCTTAAACAAGGCCACAAGGCAGATCCCTGAGCGCGGTCATGGCCGAGGTTCTTGATCACCCTACATATCTCCTCCTCAGAGAAGGGGCATTCTAGCAAGTCGCTAAATCCGAAAGGACGGATTGAAAGGACAGGTCAGCCATAATCAGTCCAAGTCCCAAGGTTGCAAAGAAAAGGCTTCTGAAGTTGTCAATGTAATGGCCTGTTCAATCTGAGGAGCCTGATCTAAAATGAAGTTGCCTATAGTTGCTGATTTTGTGAAAAAAGGCAGCATTGAGATCACCATGTTTAACCATCTAACCCTACAGTTCATGATTTTGTGAAAAAAGGCAGCATTGAGATCACCATATTTAAGCCCATCTAACTCTAGAGCTCTGGGACCAGAAGATTTCCTTTTTATGGAGTAGGTCCCAAGAGCTAATTTGGGATTGGGTTCTTAAGTGTCTTTCCTCGAGAAACAGGGGTCGGCTCTCATCGGTGGTATCTCAGAGATGGATGGTGTGAAGTAGGGCTTCCTTCTGAGCCCGGAAGTTGCCTGGAAGATGGCTGGCCCAATCTTTTAGGGTGAGTTTGAGCAGTTGCAGTTTCCGCTGGAGGTGGAATACAGCCCAACCGTGGACCAGGGGTGAGAAAGACTTCCACCAAGCAGGGATGAGGAATGAATGTCAAATTCCTTGAGCCAGGCAAGTTTGAAGTGGAAAGAGAATAGGGTGACAGTGTCTCTGGTGGGGGTCTCTGGTGGTTGGCATAGCGTCCAAGAGAAAAGGGCGACAGTCAAAGGTGGGTTTGGGGAGGGCAATGGTGTGGGTACTGGGCAAATGGGAATACTGATCAAAGGAGGTGAGATATCTATCAAGTTTGGAGAACGAAGGTTTGGCTGAATGGTTAATGTTGGTGTAAGAACTTGAAGAAGTATTACATAATTTTCAATACAAACAGGGGAAAACCCTACAGCTTCCTAGTTGCTCTACAAAATGGGTGGTATTTTGAACAAGGACAAACAGGAGAATTGTACTTAAGGTGGTCACAATGAGCGTGTCCCTCCACTAAAGGTATAAAGATTAGCTCGTCTATGGCATCAATTACTTTTCTACAATTTCATCCTAGGAACTCCTAGGCTTATCACATATTGGGGACTCAAGAAGCGATTAATTGTGGAGCTCCCTAGCATCTTTACTGCCGGAGAACCTCCTTCAAGTTACTAAAGTTCCAACCTCATTGTGTAAATATACAAGGTATCACGAAAGACATGCATCTCTTTGCAAACAGGAGAGAAAAAATCATTATACCACCCAATTCATTTTTAACATTTTCAAACAAAACCAAACCTTTCTAAGTTGGACAAACAAGAAGGGGAAGAGGGTTTCTCCACGTCTAGAGCCCCTTTAGAATGGTTAACAGCCCTGGGGTTCCCACATCACCATGAAAGAGAATATAACATAGGTAATAATCCATCATCTCCATCTGCTACCAAACCCCAAATATCCAATCAAGTATTCCAGATACACAAATCACAACTTTTTCCCCATATTAACGTGCCCACAATCTCAGGCCTCCCTTGCCCATGCCTTAAGATGGTTGCAATCAGGATTCAAAAAATCAACCAGGGTTCAAAAAATTGCCAATTTGACCCGAAATCGGCCGAGTCGAATGGGAACCAGAGCGGTATAGG